AGAGGGAAGCATTAACCAAAGAGGGAAAGGGGGGGGAGCGGGAGAGATTAATCAAATAATTTAAATGCATATATGTATAACCTATGGATACAGGCAACAGTGTGGAGAAGGATGGGGGAGTGGGCAGGAGCATGGTGGATGGGGTCAATGCGGGGAAAGGCGGATATCTGTAATCCTTTCAACAATAAAGAAAACATTTTAAAAAGAAAGCCTGTGGGAATTCTTTTTTGATTGTATCTGTTTTCCATGAAACAAGAAACTGCCATCAGCTGAGAATAAGTAAGAAAGAAGAGACATTGAGATTTGAAGAGAAAGAAGAAATTCATGTCTAGTGGGAGAGTGAATGGAAATATAGTGGGGCAGTCAGTCTTCAGTCTTACTAAGGACCTCCTTGAGGTAATAGTGAATTTAGAGTGAGACCAGTCATTATAGTTGTGAATTTCCCCCCTCTGCCAACGTTTAGGTTGCATGGATGCAGGTCTGGAATCAGCAGAGATATGTATTTAATGAAGTGTGGGCTTTTGCTAGGTGATTATGATAGAGAAAAGAATGATGGAGTTGACAATGTATGTAAGGGAGTGATAATTGGCCATGGAGTTTATGATAGGTAAGTAGGAAAACAAGGACATTGTGGGGAGTGAGGATGGTAGGATCAATGAGTTGGGCATATCAAGGGAGTAGAGGGATTATTAGGAGACTGGGTACTGGAGAGAGTAAGCAGAAAGACAGGAAGTGGTGTTTGGGGAATAGAATGATTGAAAATAACTGAGGGCTGCTGTTATTGGTAGTGACAAAAATCGTGCATATGGCCATGAGAGTGGGTGGTTGAGGTAAGGCTCAGTGCTTGACACATAGTAGATTGTCAATAAGAGTTCAGTCCCTCTCCTATGCCTTTACTGCTACTTGATTAGAGCACCATAAATATGGGTCACTATTTAGCAACAAGTTCTCTCTTAAAATGAACCAAACAATCCAATAGCACCTGTGAAATCCCTGGTCCACATCCTTCATTTCAGATCAAGGGTTTGTATTTTACTTGTCATAAATTATGGCAGTTGGTCCAAATTTTGGTACTGGCACACATGCATTGCGTATTGCTAATGGGAAAGGAGGGGGGACAGTGGGAAGACATTAATCAAGGAATTTATATGCATATATGTATAACCTATGAATACAGACAAACATGCTTTCTCTTGGAATATGACCTCAGAATCATTCTCAACACAGTATCCAGGCCTCTGCTGCCAACCAATGAGAGTTGGAATATATGATTAAATCTACTTGTCATCCTCGAGCTACTGATAAGGTAGGTCACTTAGGAATTTAAATTGTTTTAGTTGCAGAAACTCAATTATTTCTAAGTCAAGGTCTTGAATAATATTTAAATTTTCAGCATGGGAATAAATGCTTTCTTATTTTGAGTAATGACTTTTGAGGTGCATGGTGTCTACAGTGCTGTGCTTTCTTTAGGACAGCCCCATGGAAGAATGCTCTTTTTATTTCAGATTAACTTACTAAAAAGAAAATGGTAGAAAATTAGTTTCTCCAGGATACTTGTATACCAGAGCATTATTTTAGTGTTTGTCCTAAAGAGTGGCACTAATTTGAAATGTTAGGTTTTGACCATGTATTTTAAATCTTTAGATTATAGCCAGTCAGATAATTGTATTGGATTATTTTAGTTTTATCAGGGAAAAGAAAAATGAGTAATGCTTTAGAAACGATTTGTGTTTCAGAGCAACTTTGGACTCCAAGCGACTAAAAACATGAACTGTGTCTGAGTCACTTTGCTTTAACTATATTTTGGGGGTTGCTTGTTTTATTTGATTGCCTTGAACAGAACACATTTGCGTCTTAGTGATGCTGACTCTTCCCCTGCTTTCACGGGGGTGGAGCACTTTGGAGATGCAAACTGATTATTTTTTGTTTCATCCGTCAAAAGGAATAGAATGAGATAAAGAGGCATTAACTTTTTTCTAAACTTAAATTTCCAGCAAAAGATGACTGCTTCTTAGCAAAGGATGTTGGCGGAGTTTATTTGATTGCAAAATTACCGGAATAGTTGTTTAGAAAGTTATCTCTTTGCGGAAAGTCCAAGTAAATCTTATTTAATGAGTGGAGAATAGTGCTAAGTACTGTGAGGATTATAGAGAAGTATTATTTACAGTTCATGCTTTCAGTGTTTTAGAGTCTAGTTGGGAAGACACATTGTACTAAGATGAAATGCAACAAACATGCAAAACTATACATTTTCAGTATTAAATGTGAGTGAATGATGGTAAGAACTATAGGACTTCGAATGGAGGAAGCATCCTGACTTGAGTGGGTAGAGACTGTACTATAGCAAGGAAGACCTGGAGCCAGAAGCCCAACCCTTCCTCCTAAGAGCTGTGAGCTCTTGCACAAGTCATTTAATCTCTCTGGGCCTCACTTCTCTAAAAGATTAGTAGCACAATTCACAACAGCTAAGATTTGGAAACACCCTAAGTACCCATCAGCAGATGAGTGGATTAAAAAACTGGCTACGCTGCTGTAAAAAAGAAGGAATTCTTACCATTTGCAGCAGCATGGATGGACCTGGAGAGCAGTATGCTAAGTGAAATTAGCCAGTAAATGAACAACATAAACCGATGAACAAAAATAGAGCCACAGTTATAGTAGTACTGAACAGACCATCCAACCTGAGAGGGAAGGCAGGGGAAGGAGTGGTAAGAGATCAACCAAAGGACTTGTATGCATGCCTATGAGGATAACCAATGGACACAGATAGTAGGGGGGTGAGGGCATGTGCTGGGGGGTGGGAGCGGCTGGGGAGAGGTCAATGGGGGAAAAAGAAGACTTATATAATACTTTAAACAGTACAGAATTTAAATAACAAAATAAGTAAATAAATGAATAAATTGAAAAGAAAAAAGATAACAATAGAAAGACCTATCCCATGAAGCCAGGATATGGATTAAATGAGTTAAGGTAAATATGTCACTATGTGTATTTCCAGTGCCTGATACATGGAAAGCTCTATCTGTATTCCGTAAATCTTAGTTTCTTAATCATTGTTAGTATATACAGCTTTCTAGAGTTGTGTTTTGAAATATTAACTCAATTTTTTAAAAAAATTATTGATTTCAGAGAGGAAGGGAGAGGGAGAGAGAGAGAAATATCAATGAGGAGAGAGAATCATTGATCGGCTGCCTCCTGCACGCCCCCCACTGGGGATTGAGCCTACAAC